ATAGGTAATAAAAATTCGCCATAATTCATCAAATATCCGTGACTTCCAGGGGGCGAAGCCCCCTGGACCCCCACCGGGGGCCCTAGACGGCCCCCTGGCCCCCCGCCAAGTGAGACTCGATTCGCTCCACTAGCCCCCCCCCCCCCAATCGGGGCCTTTAGCCCCTCCGTCGGGCAGGTCCTGGCGCCACCCCTGTGTTGTAACTGCTTCAACTGTTAATAAATTCAAGTCTGGTTAGCAAAATGTTGGTCTGACCACATAGTTTCCCCCATATGTTTCTGAAGAATTTGTTATGATGACTCTGGAGGGACAAACGAGCTAATAGGCTAGCTCCAGTCCTAGGTTCAAGGTAAATTCAGGGCAGGGAGTTGTTATTATAACAACTCCCTGTTCAGGGTACTGTAAATATTTATACAGGATACAATTTCAGACATGATGTAACAGTCTGTTTTTAAAATGGTTCCTGTTTAAATTAATATTAATTAATGAGAATTATACATTGATTTTTCTTTACTTCGAAACACTTGCCTGATCAAATGTACCGTATTCCAATCAATCGGTATAGCGCTACTTGCGTTCCATACATTTTGAGCTTAGGGGCCTAGTAGTAGTAGCTTGGTAGTAGGCTCGGGCTAGGCCTTCATCTACTATATAGATAGGTAGGTAGGCCTACTAGTAACTAGGTATCATATTGCCTAGTCATTTGGCCAGTCCTCGTGAGGTGGTTCTGATGATGGTTAAAGAGCCTAAGGACTCCAAAATTTTGGAGTATAACAACAGGAGATGTGGGGAGAGGGGAAGAATAGGACTAGGCCCCAGCTAGTGTTGAACGACAGTGTCAGTCATGAGTACGCTTGCCATGCCGTACCTCCTCAGGCCGCTTTCGACCTGATAATAGGCAGTAGGAAACGCACAATCACACAAGCATCACCTTTCAGAAAAAAAAAAATTAACGCAGTTGGTAGTGGAATCTTGGATGGAGCATTTGGGGTAGAGTTATCCAAAGTTATACTAGAAGCTGGCGAGAAAATTAGAATGTTAGCGTAATACACGTTAAAAAACTATTATAGATTTTTTAAAAATTTAAATCCTTTGAATTATTGGATATTCTGTATAAAATATTACGTCTACTAAAAGAAGTATAAGCAAGTACAAATTTCGAAATCTCTATTATATTCAACTTAAATAGTCATCTTCATATGTACAATAAAAATAAAACAGTCAACATATAATATACATTTTGATTTACAGTGCTTTCAGCCAGGTCACTCTTCAGTGACCATAAACACCTCTACTAAATACTTTTAGTCCCATGAGATGTTTTGACCTTCGATTTAACGGGGCGGCTGAGAGGGAAATATTCATCAAGGCACAATACTATAAATAATTTCATAATTTGGAAGGATATCTCACGAAATTCTACCAATAATTTGCGAGAAAGTTTCAAGGGATCTTAAAAAAACCAAGATTCCAGTTGGATTTGACACTGATGACCGAGGGCCCTTTTCATTTGATCTGTTTCTTTTTTTTAGTAACTTTCTACAGAAAATGCCGATTACAGATTCACAAACAGCCGAGCTTGATGAAAGAATTGAGGCATTTATTGCAAGTTTAAAGCTTGGGTAAGAATTCACTTTTAATGCTGTATATTTTTAAAACCAAAAAAATAGTAATGCAATACAGTTTAATTTGCTTATATTATAATAATTGCTTTAAATCTTCAGCCAGGTTGTTGGTTCATATGATGTAGCTAACAAGACAGTGAAGTTGCTACGGCGTGTGGTGTCACAGACGAGATGGAACCATGCTGGTGATCTGATGGATAGGATTCGAAAAGAAGGGAGAAAGATGATGGCAGCACAGCCGTCAGAGTCTGCCATTGGAAATGTTGTCAGAAGAGTTCTGAAAATTATTAGGGAGGAGCACACTGCGTAAGCTGAGAAGATAATATGCACTTTTAAAATATTGTCTGTTTAATGATTGTTATTTTTACTGTTATGTATGTATGTATATGTATATATATATATATATATATATATATATATATTATATATATATATACTTCCTTTATTCGGCTCGTAAGGGGAAAATCTTTTGTCTATGATTTCGCCTTAACGTCATTTAAGTTTCCCCTTAGCGACACTACTTTCGCCTTAAGTCATTTTCCACTAGGCAAATTTATTCGCGCGAATCGAAAGCATCGTTCATACGCATGCGCATTCACATTTATATCGGGTTTTTACGAAGCGAAAAAATTTAGAAGATTAGCCCTTCATTTGACATTTTAGCCAGCTAGATGCAGTGTCAATTTTAAAATGGGAGAAAGATGATGGCAGCTGATAATCTGATCAGATATTGTGCATCAAATTTAATTTAAAATATTAATTTTCTCAGGATTCAAGGAGCCAGGGATGATACTGGAGACAATCAACAGTCACTTCATGTAAGACTCATCTTGAAATTATAAGATCAGATGGGCCTGTTAGTCCCTTGTATATAACTGTATGTGTATAAAAAGAGTAGGTGGTTATCTTTTATATTGACCGGTTAAATAAGTTCTTGTTTGTGCAAGTGCAGGTCTGTTCTGCTGCCCTTTAGTACCTTGCTTCTCTTCTGCCAACCTTCAGTGCCCTGTTGCTGCCCTGCACTACAGTATAATTGCCCTGTTTCCCATCTGCTGCCTTTGATTGCCTTGTTGCTGCTCAGCCTCTGCTGCTCTACAACGCTTTGTTGCTGACAGTTCTTCTTCCCTTCTTCCCCACTGCTTCCTTTCTGCCAGTACCTTACTGCTGCCCTGCTACTGCCCTGCTGCTTCTCTGCATCAGTGCCCTGCTTCTGCCCCCTCCCTCGGTACCCTGGTACCTTGCTCCAAACTACTTACTATTAGCCCATTCCCAAGTGCCTTTATGTTTCCAGCTTTGGTACCTTGTCCCATTGCCCCTTTTCTAAATATTGATATCTGTTTTTGATCATTCATGTTTGTCTCCAGTGTCAGTCAGATATGTCGGACTCCCTTCCATTTTCATCCCAATTATTGAATAATTAAAATTTTTATCCTTTAGAAAATGTTATTAGCTGCTGGAAAGTCAGAAGACTTCTACAAACCAAGTGTGAATTTAAAAGTAAGTGTTTGAAATCAAAATTGGAGTTAGTTACAGCTAAGTATTTATGGTGATCAATATAATCAAGTAATACAGTATTCCATTTATATTTCAAGGGTCGTGTTATCGAGAGCATCAATGAGTTCCTGACAGAACTTGAGAGCAGTGCCGACAACATAGCTACTCAAGCCCTTGAACACATCCATTCTAATGAGGTGATAATGACTGCCGGAAAATCACGAACTGTGCAAGCTTTTCTTTTGGTAAGGCAGTGTGATATTCATGAATCCCGATTCTTTCGTGTTTCATACATTTGATCAAAACAATTTTCAATTTTTCTTTTTTAGAATGCAGCTAGGAAGAGAAAATTTCAAGTGATAGTTGCAGAATGTGCTCCATCTTATCAGGTAGAATTATGTATATATCATGTTACCAAGCATTATTTTATTTGCTGTAAATGATTTAAAGTAATTTTGTTTTATAAACATACTGTTATTGTATTATTTTATTATACTATATGCTTTTGTAATTTTTCTTTATATGTTTATGTTCCATTTTATTCACATTTATATTCATTATTTTAGTTGGGCAGTTATTTTCTTTCTGTTTTTTCTTGTATTTTTTCCTAAGTTAAAAATGAATAATACTAATGATAATATAAATAATATTTAGTTACCGTTGTGATTTTATATGATTTCATAGGGTCAAGAGCTTGCAGTGAACCTTGCAAAGGCTGGAATAGAAACTACTGTGATCACTGACTCAGCAGTATTTGCTATGATGTCAAGGGTCAACAAGGTCATCATTGGCACACACACAGTTATGGCCAACGGAGGGTCGGCTGACATTTTGATTTACTATGTATTGAAATGAAATCCCTGGCAGATCTTAATGAACCTTAACTTTATTTTTTTCATGCATGTAATTGGCAGTTTTATAAAACCCCAGTCAATGTGTCCAGTGGCTGATTCGGCTCGCATCTAGCTCATGTCCACCCTCCCTCACCCCCTAAATTTTTCAAAAGTATTTTCAAAAAGTGTTAAATAAAATGTGATTATATTTAAATTCAAGTACGGTATTTTCATTGTTCCTGTGACTGGTATTGACACGCATTAATCTTAATATTTTAATGGAATTATTAAATCTTGTGAAAGTTGATTTAACCTGAAATTTATCTTATTTTATAAAGCTCAGTCCAGACCATCAAATTTTCTTTGACAAAAGGCTTTTGTATGCCCATATTTAGTCATGATGCACCTATACATGGTCATATGTTGTCATCATGACCATATTTATGTCCCAGGTTTTTGTCAAAATTTGATAGAACAGGGCTTTAAGACCAATTCAGACGTCATCGTACAGGGCAGCCCGACATGATTTATCGTTGTATCGAGTGCGCGAGTTAAAATCAGAGCGTGCGTGAGTTAAACGCAGACGTGATGGGTCATCAAGAGACTGCATCAGGACAGTCGTGCTACAGAATATTCTCACGACAACGATAAATCACTTTTGGCTGAGTCGTGTGACGCTCTTTGAGTGGGCCTTGCTGTATATGTTTAATGAGATTTCTTTATAGATTGAAAGCCATCAATGGAAGCCATGCAATAGCATTAGCAGCGAAGCACCACTCTGTGCCTGTAAGTTTCCATTTCTCATAAATTTATTTTCTTTATTTTAATTTTTGCCCATTTGGTTTTCTTATCGTGTCCACACACTTGCTAGACACTTTGTGTCAGCCAGAGCTGGACACAGTTTCTAGCACAATCATTGCACTCTGCCAGGTCCATCAGATGTTTGATGTTTATACAAACATAATATCTGCAGTGCAATCAATAATATAGTTTTCAATTCTTGTCATTCAGGTAATCTTACTTTCATTCATCCATTTATGTATGTATTGGTCATCCCTACCAAGTCAATTTAAAGACAATGCTGTCATTTGCACCCTAAGTATTTTTAAATAGGTTTAAAGCATATCTTTTTAGTCTTCAGATATAGATATAATTTTTACATTTCATGCATTGTGTTTTTATAAATTTTAACCAAGTTTCTATTGATGTTTTGTTGGAACTTCTGGTTCCCCGAGTCATAGATGCAATTGCTTCTTTAGCAGCCCAGGGCCTTTGTGTCTAATAAATAAATGAAATGAAATGAAAATGAAATGGCATGATGATACAAGTAGATGTGAAATTGATCTTGTGTGTGTTGGTGGTAGTATTGGCATTACAGTATCCTGGGAAACAACGAGAGCGCTTCTGCCATGACCCATTTGGTAATTTGTTCCATATGAAAGGACCAACATAGAATATAGAATCTTGACGGGACTGAAATCTAACGCAAGATAGTATGATACATACTCCAAGTATCGAAATGCACGCTATCGTGTAGAGATTCATTATTTCAACATTAATTATATCATCATCACCTGATGATGACCTAATTAATGTTGAAATATTGAATCCCTACATGATGGCATGCATTTTGATACTTGGAGTATGTATTATACTATCTTATCTGAGAAAAATCAGTGGACCTTTCGGAAATCTAACTTTGTGCAAGGAAAACTGATGAATCTGTTTTGTGGATTGAGGTGACTTTTGAGAAGAAGTTTCGTAGTAAAATTGGAAAACTGCCAATAGACACTAAATCAAACTTTTTTTTTCCAGCTAATTGTATGCGCCCCAATGTTCAAGTTATCACCCGAATACCTCTGCTCACATGACCAGGCAAGTCATTGTACATAAGAAAAACATTGAAATCAATCTTTTATGATTTAAATATTCACTAAAAACATTGAATAGTGGACAATGACGCCCTATGGAAAAGTGGGTACTATCTGAACCCCTTTTTTGGTAAATCCTTTCAAATATCAACCCCCCCCCTAATATCACCCCCCCCCCCCCCAATCCCTTGCATCAATAATCTTCATAATGTGCATGCTATTGAGCTAAGTGGTTGGCTGTGCATTGTTGAAGCTTCTGGTGCTTAAGATGGCCAGCATTGGGTTTTAATTGAGTCAGATTGCTTGGCTCCTCGAATAACCCTCAATTGAGAGTTAGATGGGTTATGGAAAAATTGTTGTATCCGGATGTGTCTGTTATGTGTTTGTAGTTTAATAGTCGAGTGACTCTGCACTGCCCAGCCCAAATTTCTGATTTCTCATTAGAATGAGGACAAATACAGAATTATTATTATTCAACTCCAACAGGATTATCCCCCTGACCCAAGCTTTTTTCCTGAATCCCACCAGGGTGCGTAAAAGCCGGCTACTCACTGCGTGCGATGGCGACGCAACAATGAAAGCACGCGAAGGCGCCGAACCAACGGGTCGCTTTTTTAATGAGGATCCGTTCAGACTGCCACTGATAATCAGCAGACGGAGTTATGTCGTCTGCCGCTCGCTGGAAGCAGAGGTGGATTCGTTGTGCGATGGTCGTACGAAGCAGTGAGTGCCTGGCTTTAGTGCACTGACTTTAGGAAACCCCTCATTTAGGCTATCTGATGACAGACACCCTGGTCATCCAATAATGACATGGGTGATCACCAACACTTTCAGGATTTTCATTAAGGCTAGGATAAAATCAGATTTGCTTTCTATACTGCATCCTCATCCTAGTTTCTACTGTGTATTTACAATGTATATTATTAATTTTAATTACAGTATTTTGATAATGTGGACTGAACTTCAAATTATATCTTAATTTACAGGATGGTTTTAACAAGTTTGAATCACCCCATGATGTAATGCAGTTTGCAGATTCTGATCCCCTCTCACAAGTGCAGGTTTATAACCCTGCATTTGATTATGTACCACCTGGACTAGTCACCCTATACATATCCAACATGTAAGTTCCTCTATTTTTTCGTTTGTTTTTAGCTGGGTTAATTATAAATACTGCAGAAATGGTAGATACTTTCTCATAAGTAAAATAACACCTCAACTCACCTTAAGAGATTCGTGCACCATTTACACAATTTAATTCTTTTGTGATCCAAATCTGGGTCTTGTATTTGTATGAAGATTCCAAAACATTGATAGAGTAGTCTGTAGGCACGTTTACGTAAGTTATTGTGATAAACATATCATGATCTATTCATCATGATAACTTTAACATGAAAACCGTTCATATAGAAACCATCATCATGATTTATTTATGCTAATGTGTGCAGTGTTGCATGAAATCTACCAGAAGAACAACCAATGAGGTAGGGACCTACCAGAAGCACAACCAATGAGGTTGGGACCTGTTTAATAAACTGAAGGCTGATTGGTTGAATTTGATCGCATGAATTAAATTACCACGTTAACCAAGGTTAATCATGAGGAATCAACATGCTCCATTAGATCACGACAAGGTGATCAAGCTGAGCATGTTATTTGGTTCTGGTTGGTTCACATAAAGCGACTAACTTGATCATGATCCACTAGATCATGATAAATTCTGAATGTGAACCTAGCTTGTGTCTTGAGCAATGCTGCCACCTGGGGCGGATTGCTATAAGCAGTCTTTAGACGGTCTTAACGGTTAGCCAGCTATAATCGTGACATCACTACTGGTCTATGATTATAGACCATTGCTATACCGCGGTCTAACCAGTTAGCCATCTTATATTTTAAAGCCTACTCAGAGGAGGCTTAAAACGGTCTTAAATCATTTTCATTATGGCGTTGTGATTAATTCAACAGTGCAACGACAAGAACCGGGCCTAGGTCGTGAAATTCAGAGAATCTCAGCATCTATATAAATAGGTCTACGGCGTTTATTTACGTTCATTTCGATACATTTTGCGTGCGTCGAGCAGGCATGACGTCGCCCTCAATCTTGCGTTACCAGGGAGTGCTTGTTTGCGTTTCAATACTCAAAGAGGTCTTAGTGAAGTTGTTTTATAGCAATGGTCTTAGAGGAATGACTTTAGTAAGACCGTCTAAGTGATAAAGCCGGCTTTATTCGAGGAGTTTAGACTACCATTTAAGACCGTTTTATAGCAATCTGCCCCAGGGCTTATCAGTTCAGATCAGATTTGCTTGTGTAAACCGAGAATAAACCTTTCCAAAGTGTCAATTAACTTCACTCACCAATTGGAACAGGGCCAGGAATATGGACATGTCCTTCAAACACGCATGTATCCGTATGTTTTTGCACTGGTTTTGTGGACCTTAGCAACAGTATTTAAGGGGCGTGGCTTAGCAGAAAGGTCCATTTGTTTATGGAGGATTCCAAAAACAGGAAAGAAGATTTGGATTATACATCTTTGTTTCTTCTTTGTAAATATGATTTCAATCTCTGTTCTGTATTTCAGTGGTGGTAATGCACCCTCATATGTGTACCGGTTACTCAGCGAACTCTACCATGCAGATGACCATGACCTCTGACATCAAAACTCTCTGCTGTTGTGAAACTATCCTGTGACACAGTATGAATTTTTTAAAAATAGAATGCAACCCAAGTTGGTAGAGGAATGCTATACATGGATGGACAATAATGAAGCATCTGATTTAGCTTACATGCCTGATATATGCCGTATTCTGTATAGGTATTATTTACCACACCATAAGTTGGCATTAATGTTCAATAATATAATAATAAAGATTTGAGGACAAAAATGGAGCAAACGGACTATTGTTTTTTTTTTCTTCGTTTTGTTTACTGTTAATAACGTAGTAACATGCAGTGGCTTAAAAGGTGTGAGCTCTCACTGGCTAAGAGCTCACAGCTGTTAGCCAGTAAGAGGTTGCAGGGTTTCTTGCATAGATACGAGAGTGACGAAGTCAGTTTATTTTTGTTGGCTGAAAATGGTGATTCAGTATTTTAATTTTTAGATATTAAATACTATTCTAAATCCAAAATGCCGGGCAGCAGTAAAATAAGAACAGGATTCTAAAGATGCATCAAAACTGAAAACCACGTTAAAATTAATGGAGACTGATAGACCAACATGTAATTAGATGGACTGACCGACCGACCGACAATGCTAAGATAGATGCGAATAGTTGATGCAGAAAATTAAGTTGGTGATGTACTCTACTGTACGATTAATTTTTTAAGGAATCGAGGGGCGCTCTTTCCAAATTGAGGGGGCGCTTATTCAAATGGAGCAATTAAGACAATTTTCACGTTAAGAGGGTCGCTTATTCAAACAGGGCGCGAGTATGTGTGTCGCAGTTTGTCGTAGGCCTACACTTTCAGATTACTGCGATGTATTTGCTTCAATTTACTAAATGCATTCATTTGTGAAAAAATATATATTATGCTAGATTTCTTTTTGGGTAAAATTCTATAAGGTGGCAGGCGGGATGAAAATACATTTTACTTTTTCTCTCAATTTCCAATTATTCATTACCGCAGGTGTGCTAACTGGTCAAAATTAAAATTTTAGTTTTACTCAAGATCATTTTTCCGGAGGGCAGTGGGTTTGCAAAACAAAGTACAGTATCAAAAAAGTATCGCCTTAGAATGATGAAGAATTAACAGAAAAATGCTATGTGAAAATGCGACTAACTGGCAAAAATGCAAAGTGTAGCTCACTGTTTGTGTCGAAATTGGACGACTTTTCGAGTTTTTTGTTCTCTAGGACCTACAGATCCTGCTAATGTGTTCTTAGGCATCTACGGACTCAAAGAATGAAGAATTCCCAATGTATCAAAAACGCACACCCCCTGGGGGGGGGGGAGATATCAGTATAGCAAGAGGCCATACACAAATATCAATACATCAAGGCAACCAAGCATAAAATTTAATGCCAAGATACACTGTAAATAAACTCAAGTGTGACATACAACCAATCAGAAGCAAGTTGTTGCTGTTGTTACAATGCAGAATGCATGTTCTTAGCTTCTCAGTTTTTCCCCTGGGTTTTTATAGTCAAGTTGTATTCAAGATCGAATAATGGCACATAGGCCTACTTGTGTGTAATTTATTTAATACAGTAGTAAATACAAGCATCATTATGTAGCGCAGTCCCTGACGCAATCGTGAAGGCTCCCCGATTCAACCGACCAATCAGCACAAAATGGAATTTGTTTCTACTAAAAATGCATCTTCACCTAACACTTTCTTATGCACGATAAATCTTGATTTCCATACAATCGCCACACGTTATCGTCTAAAGCTTTTCGGGGCACCTTCCTAATTGCGTAAGGACTGCTACGCAGTACGATTACACTGAAAACACTGTAGCAACAGTGCAGCTACTGTATGGAAACAAGCTTCAGATGAGGTCCAGCTATAGATGTACAGTAATAAAGGTTTCGTCCCCGATTCATTAGATGGATAAAATTTGTACAGCAATTAAGTTTGCTTTTGTTTAATCCGGTCTCTGCCAAGAGTGTTTTGTTTTGTATTTGTTGTACCTGTTTTTAAAATTGACGAAATAAATCAAATGAAATCACTTGATATTGTGGCAGACGAATAGCTTAGTGATTGAAGATGCTTGCTTTCTAATCCCTTAGTAGTGGGTTCTGAATGCTCTGTTGCTCATTTCCCCTCCAAGATTGCAAGCGATATTAAAGCAATTACAAAAAAAAAAAAAAATTTGTAAGGGGAGGGGGAAATTTACCCACCTGTCGGACAGGCCTGGATCCACTTCGTCTAACCAAATATAATAATTTGATAATACAATCCAAGCTTGGCTTTAATCATAAATTTAATAAAATGGACACTAAATTAACAAACAACCAGTCAAGTTTGAGTCACATGGAAAAGAATTATTTATTAAATGAAGCAGCACAGTATCGTGGCAATATGTCTGTTTGCTGTACTTAAAATAAATGTGAATAGAATACAGCTGATAGGTACTGTACATTATAGAAGAATTAAGAAATTCAAATACGAACGATGAGTAAAGGGCGGCAAAAGTAAACCCATTCAATATGATTTTCCATGATAAAAAATTATTCTCGAATTCTTTTTGTGCATACTATACCAATTTTTTTTTTTGCTGTTTTCCCTATACAGTTTTTTTTAAACGTTCTACTGTATTACCCCAACAAAAAAAAGATAAAATCATCAAGAACATAACTTGAGTTTTCTTTTTCTTTTTGTTCAAAATTTGAAACCTATTCTTGTAGTAATGTACAACCATTTTTTACATAAGTTTGGGTCAGAAGTAATCATCAGACAGTGGACATGTACAACAAAATTTAAGAATTGAAGATAATTTAAGAGAATATTTATCTCCAGTATACTCTAGGTTATTGAAATTGCAGGTGGTTGTTCCACATTACCTGGGTGGCTTAAATTGGCATATTTTGAGCCTACACATCTATATTCTCTGACAGAATGCAAGATTAAAATATATTTTCTTATTCCAATTTTCCTCTAGTCTAAGAGGAACATATTAAAATGACCCATGAAACAGAAACCGATCAGTAAAATCATTTTTAATAAGCATTACAATACATCACTGATCACACTGGCGTATCCATGGTGACCAGGTTACCAACTGAGGGAAAGATCACAAATGCTTAGTTTCTTATCTCAAAAAACTGAACCTAAACTTGTATCACAAGACAATCAGTTTCAAGGTTATTTCATCTTATTAAAGCAGAAGCATCGTGCAGGCGGTGGGCTAGTAAATTACAACATTGTTCTACTGTGGAAGGAATATCATGCACAAACCTATTTGGACTGAACACAAAAAACCCTTTATTCCATATTACAGGAATATATTAAACTGCTTTCTGATTACTCTAGAAGCCATATTTCATAAATTTCAGGTTACTGTTCCATCGATTACTTGTTTTCTTCAAGTGCACCTCTGCCAAATTTGCAATAGATTTTAACTATCGAACAAAAATTTCATTTACCCTTTAAAAAATTTCACTTTTGAAAGTTTAAATTGCAATTAAATAAAATTCATGTTTTTCACATTCTTCCTAATAAATTTACAACTGTCTTTAGACATCAAATTAAGGTTCTACCTCAACTCCCCCAGGAGACTGAAATAAACCTTCGGGTGCTACCTCGACACTCTAGGAGACTGAAATGAGAATGCAAAGTCAGATTATCAGAGTACAGTACTTCAAATCCTAAAACTAAATTGTTGCTCTTCTCCATCTCAGAGCCAAGTGCCATTAACTTGAAGGGCCTATTGATATCTACACGTGTTGTTTCTTTAAACCATGAGACATTCTAAAATACCACATACACTTATTTCTATATTAGAAAACTTAATTTAAAATTGGCTGATGTTGGATGACACCAGAAGTGATTTGCTGCACTGCTTACACAACACCCAATCATTACACAAACAGCTATTCAGCTTGTTTAGGGTTTTTTTTGTTTTCTTTTCTGGGCTTTGCCATTAGACAACTAATTGGCTCCCAGGCTTGGGAATTCATCCTCGTTGTCTACACGAGGAGCAGCTGGCCCATCATTGCGATACCTTCCACCAAAGCCGCCACGCCCACCACCACCACCACCACCACCACCTCGTCTACCTCTTCCATCTCTATCTCTGTCACGGTCTCTACCACGCCCACCACCCCTGCCTCTACCACCTCCCCCACGTCCACCTCTTCCTCCACGTCCGCCTCCTCGTCCAGCTGGTTCGTTAAAGCTTATGTCAATATCCAGTACATGTTTTTGTGAAGGTCGTCCTTGGTGTACGTGTTCATCCTCCTATAAGAATAAAAATAGTAGATTATGAAGCAGGCCGATAGCAAATTAATATGGTTATTATAGCCAATATTAATAATATCGCCATAATAAGTAAGTCGTTATAAGTATATCAGCAGTGTATTTAGTCAGCTGTTTATCAGTCAATGACAGCAAGATATTCCTGTCATGGAATGGCAAATACCAAGTAATAAGTAGTAGTATAATAGAATAATAATATTAAAATCAAAGACTCTTAGGTTTGGATTTTAATATTTACAGTACTATTGAAAATTAATTGCTTATTGCATATCCGTGAATTGATAATCAGTCCTTCAAGTATGATGGGCCAAGCCAACCACCACTACACTACAAAACCTTTTAAAAGGTCAACGAATTTAGTGCACTAAACCACAGACAATAGTGTCATGTAACAAAAAGAAACATGCCACAGGATAAATAAAATTTCTATTTTTTTGTGATGGTTGTACATAAACAATTAATTTTAATGAAGTAAATTTTATAATTATAAAAACTAAGGATTTTCAAAATTATGATTAGAATTATAAAAAGGCATCTATTTCTGCCCTGAAGTGTATTTAGAACTGTATTTAGGGGCTTTTATAGAATAATAAAAGACAAATCCCATCATATCCGAATTTAAACTACAATCTATGCTAATTATATGTTAATTTATGGTGCTCCAACTAAACTCCATGAAAATTATACAAGGTTTTACAGTATTAGCTTTGCAGTGATACCAAATATTGTTGAAATTGACTTATTTTTATTTTTCACCTTTTGGTTGATCATTTTATGGAATCGCCCTATTACAGCTTCACCACAAAAGCTGTTTGTTTATTTTTCACAGACTGTCATCAGACGCATGCAAAATGAGTCACACTGAATATTTAATTTATTGACGATCCAATTAATATAATCTGAAGGGGCTCCGCTTCCAGTGATTTTTAATTTGTTATCAAGCTAACAACTTGTAGGCATAATCAAATGTTGCTGACAATCAGTGCAAGGCTAAAAGCAGTAGTATTCAACATGCACATGGAAGCACATTTTCCCAGCCTATTGTCAACATTACGATTATCTGTGATTAGAAAGATAGCAAACACAAATAAAACACTTATTTATAAGTACAAGCCCATTATTACTGTAGGCACTAAACTACTCAAGTTACAATTATCAACATATTGGCAAACATCGCAAGTTTTTACTGTAGTTTCGACTAGTATTGGCTGGTAGATAGTTCCATAGTACGATATCTAACATAGGCGTTGATATAGCCCTTTTGCCAATAGATACCAGGTGCTCAGAAAAGTTTATGAAATCCAACAATGCAACCAAAATTTTGGAAATTAAGCGTTAAATTACTGCGATGAAAGATAGTAACAGCAAGAAAGTTTGCATAACATGTCAATTCGACTTAATGCACAACATAGATAATTAACAGTGTGTAAATAACATTATTCAATTTAATTTAGGCATGTACTTTGTGAGTATGCGATAACTTAAATAAGAAAATAAGTAATGTGTTACATTATACTATGCAGGGTTGTAACTGTAGAAAACTAAGGGTGAGTGGTAGGTATTTAAATGTTGGGTAGATGACAACATTGGTAAACTCAAATAAGAGTGGATTTTAATGATGGGCAAGGTGTTAATAAAGGTGGGTGTAAGAAAATTAGCTTTAGACTGGGTGGGAAAACTTCCAGGCTGGGTGGCCAGCACACTTTAACTACACCCCTGACTATGGTTACATACCTGTGCCCTATCCTCCTCATATCCGCCAATTTTTCTTGAATCCAGTTTATAAGTTGTCTTCCATTGCTCTGCATTTTCTCCTTCACCAGCTTTGCGCAAGTTGAAGTCTTTTTTATAACGGTTCTGTTGAATCTGTGCCTTGTATTCCTCTAGTGTCATTTCCCGCGTCTCTTCTTCGATTCCATCTTCTGCCTTCTCCTCATCTTGCCCTTCGCCGTCCCTGAAACACACAAAAATCCTTACAGGTTGGAATAAACTGAAAGCAAATTAATACTATAAAATGTTCAAATCAGGGCTGAAAAATTAGTGGGCGATAATAAATTTCTTGGGTTATCGTCCTTCTGGCGACACTTACTGGGCTCACGCTAACCGATCGCCAATTTGCGAAAACCATTTTGGAACAGCTTTCGTCATACTGGCGAAGGCTTAAAATCATTTCAAAGTTTCAAATACTTGCTAAAATACATTGTCTTTTTTTCGTTTGAACTCCATTTTTCGCCAATCTATAGCCATGGGGAGTTTACTTGTGTTCTTGTATTAATAGTCTAGCTGCAAATATCATTGCATGCTTTGTTATTTTAACGCAGTGGAGGCAGAGCAGTAACTACTATATTCACGACAGTTTGATGGTAATGTACCCTTTGACAACAAAGTAGACCTAAATGAATTCGACTGTCGGGTACACAACTTCCTAGCTTGTGTTTTTTAACTAAATGCCTATGCGTGCGATGGTAGAAATGTCATTAACAATAATTTAATCAATGATTTCGTGTCCTTGTCTGATACATAAAATGCATTTAAGTAATGTGTGTAATATTTTAAGAATCCACCACATGCATGGTGCACACGTACACCGTATTGTTAAGCAGAGTGCAGAGTAGCGGCTTAATTTCCCAACGCTAGGCCCAGAACACAAGTCTTGATCTTCAAGTTGAAACATTTGGATGACGAGACGATAGGGCCTTTTCTAGACCATCAATTTTGAATAGCCTTTTGGTTCCCAAAAGGCTATTTTCCTTGCTCCATGACCCTCACCCACACCCTGATATCGTTCCAAACTAAATTGAGAATACTAGATAGGCCTAGGCCTTTTTAATTTTTTCAATTTTAATGCTACATATTTAGAAAACTTTTAAAGTAACTCGTTGGTGTGTTATAAATTAGCTCGGACTAATGATTTTAAAAAATTTGGGTTAAATTTTAGCTGAAGGTAGATTGAATTGGCAAAAAAAAAAATTATTAAACTAATGTAATCTTGCTGGTTTTATTGAATTTTTTTTTTTTTGGAATTATATTTCAGACCGTAAAGAAATAGGGCCAGTAAAACATTGGAAGGGCCAGTATCATTTTTTTTCTTACTGGCCCTGCTGGCCACTATGTTTTGGAGGTTAATTTTCAGCCCTGTCACCATTATTAATAAACAAAGATGCGAATCTCACAAATAATAATAATAATAAAGGCTAGTTGACTTGTTTAAAGCAGTATTAGTCTGCTGACTGTTAATGGCAGTATATATTTTATATGGAAGTCAATACTGTATTATGTACAACAAAGACAAATAATTTAGTAAAATACAAATACAAATCTGTATGTCTAGTTAAAGCCGCCAAAAGCCACCGTGGGTCTAGGGGGCTTCGCAGGCGACAGGCCCATATAATCGTGTCTAGAGACCATCTAGGCCCTCTAGTGGGGTCGAGTGCCATGGGATAAATTACTTACTTTTGCACTGGTATTTGTTCGCCATCTTCTACTTGGGTACTCCAGTCTTGGCTTTCATCAGTAACATTGGAAGTGTCAAGTTCACTAAAATAGGAAAACATACAATTTGTTAAATTTTTAAAAATTAATTATTAGGTGTATAATCATCTGATAGTTGACTGTTTTGAATAATTTAATTGTATGTTTTTGTTTTTTTAAAATCTTTTTTTACCTTATACTTATCTGTTTGGATGCATTGTATTGTTTTGTAACTGCCTACTGTTAAGTTTGGATTTGGCACATTTTTGGCAGTATTTTAAAGCCTACATACAGGTGGAAGGGATGTATCTGATGGATGTGATAAATGAAAGTACAACAATAGGGAGATTTTGATTTGTTAGACGATGGGAAATCGGCAAACATAAGCATATGCACATGTCATCAATTAGATTATGTCCTAGGGTCTAAGAAATGCAATAAACATGACCACACTTGAATGCTCTCAGGAAATCTTAATAGAGATACAGTATACAGCCCTGAATATTAACAGGGTCTTACAATATACATAGCAGTATTTAAAAATATTTTAAACGCCACACATTTTTGTATCACCGACACTTTTCAGACATTTTCCCCCTCATTTTATGGGCCTGAAATACTATACAGTTAAACTTGCCTAAGTCGACTTCACCTAACTCAAACAATTTCTAAGTCAAACAATTTCTAAGTCGAACAATTTATAAGTCAAACTTAATCTGTAAGTCAAATTTCATCCAAGTCGAACCATTTTTCAATGGCATTTTTGATTCGACTTGGGCAAGTTCAACTGTATACAATGTGCAAGAAATGCGTGTAAAAATAATTTGGAATACATTATCCTAACACCATGACTATCTACTAGCTACTGCGAGAAAGCAAAAAGTAGCACTTTAACACTGGTTGAAATTGTTGTTTTCTTACTCTTTTATGTAATAGTTATGTAATAGAAAATAAAACTCAGGATATTCAGTACTTTTATGACTAGTTTATTTATGACAGTACACAAGCTTTCGTGCACACAGTGCACTTCTTCAGGTGAATGTGAAGTCATGTTAACTTCACATTCACCTGAAGAAGTGCACTGTGTGCACGAAAGCTTGTGTACTGTCATAAATAAACAAGTCATAAAAGTACTGAATATCCTGAGTTTTATTTTCTATTATATATTAGACTAGTACGGCTTATCTATTTTTTATTTAGTTATGTAATAGTTTAGCATATTCATCATCATTACTAGCTAATGTATTGGACAGCAAAAAGAAGATTCCCCTTTTGAGGTGAATCATTCTAGTGAATGTTTCACAGAGAAATGTACACTATTCACAACTGTACATCCGACAGCCATTGAATTGTAATACACATAAATCTAGCAGGAGCAAAATTTCGCACACGTGTAGGAGATAAATATGATTGTGCACTGTGTTCTACAGTTTGCCAATTATTTTTCCGACCATGGAATCTGTGACCTTTTCCACTATAGTAGAAACAACAACTCAATAGAAATGCTGATATTAAATTATGAAAACTTACCTGACTTCATCTCGCACACTACCCCAGTTATGAGGTCCATTTCCTTCTCTCTTTTCATGTGGCTTAATCGAGCTGTGGAAAGTATTTATTCAATATTTATATTTTACCAATTTTCACTTGATTGATTGATTTAATCTACATAAAATACAGTGCAGATCAACAAATCATTACAAACACAAAACAAGATAAAACAATAAAAAGAAAATAAAGAAAAACATCACCTAAACTTGACATAACCTTCCCACCTCCCCCAACCCAATTGGTCAATCACTATAAGTTCCATTGCCAATTAAACAAAATGGCAATTATAGGGCCACAATTTATTAAAAGTTTAAAGAGTGGACTTTTGAAATATTGTACATAATTTAACAAGCTTCAATTTGTTAAAAAAAAACCCTATACATTTAAGATTTTGGGGTGGTTGGGTTTTGGTAATGTTGGACATGAAAACCAAAAAATATGCAGGCCGTGTGACTTATGCCATTATTTTCTTTAATGCAAGGGCAACTCCAAGGGGGAAAAATTGATTTTCTGTGCCTTGGATTTAATTATCTCGTACATTTATTATGTACCATTCCACCAAATTTTATATTTCATTACCTTTTTTTATGTAATTATACTAACGAGTGTGAATACATGACCTTCTTTTGCAGAGGTAGAAAAGAAAATAAAAAGGATGTTCTGCCATTACAAGCAGTTAAATGCATTATTCAAATAGTATTTAAACTAAAATACTACCAACTGATATAAACATAATATATTCACACACATTAAAGGAAGGAAATAATAATTTTAGAATGCCATGTTGTTTTTACCACACCTGATTAATGCGAGTGGGTAGTTGGCGAAGGCTGTTCCATTAACAGTCATAACTAATTTTCGTTCTTAAAACAATAACCACTGTTTGAAAATGAGAGTGACATTCCTGGTTATTTGAGATGCCATAGCCATCATATTTTGATCCTCAGACCAAACCATGATGGGACTGAGGTGGTCTAGTCCAAAATTTCCTCTCAGGGTCTCCTCTACTTCAAATATTAAATATTAAATTATCAAGCCATTAGTCCACACTTTTCTGTTTCAATTTGGTATAGAATGAAGGACTCGAGAGATTTTTGAATGATTTGAACATCTTTAGGCAAGGAGCGTACTTAATTGTAGTTTCTACTGCACATCATACACTGGAATTCCAACTTATTGAGTTCTTTGAAGGTACCCAAAGTAAGACTTGAGGTAATAAACCAACTGTCGCAACATGTAAATAAAAACATCAAGTTACATTTTCCTTAGAGGGCAGCATTGGGAAGGCTGAAACATTTTTTTTACAGTGCAATTATAAAATAAAGATTATTAAAACATGCCTCTTGTCACTTCCACTGTGTCTGTCAAATTCTCGTTTCCCTCGGTAATCACGGCCGCCATTAGATCCTCCTCTTCCTCTACCACCACGTCCTCTACCTCCGCGTCCTCTTCGTTCACCAAATTCTCCTCGGGATGGTTGACCAAAGCCTCTAGGACGGTCGGAAAATGACCTTTCAGATTTCATGTCTGATGTCATCGAATCATTGTATTGTGATGGTTCTTCATTTTCACGGTTTTCTCTGTCTTGGTAAGGACGTCCCCTTCTTCCACGTCCTCCTCTCCCTCCTCGTCCACCTCTTCTTGGTGGAACATCAGCCTCCTTTCCAAAGCGCTCTGGTTTGTCTTTCATATCTGCTATTGTAAAATAATACAACTTGCAGGTTAAATTATATCTTTCATTCAGTCATAGATTTGGAAATGTAGATAGAGTGGTGATTTCAACCTTATATCAGATTTTTCAGAGGTCCCTAGTCTCTTGAAAGTCATGGTACTTTCTGATCTCTTAAGATGTCCTGTTAAAGGTCAATTTTTCCTCAAGAATACAATAAACAAATCTGTCTCGGAGTGTGCATTTTCATGACACAATTCAAAGTTATACATTTAAATTATTTAATTTAATTTAAAAAGCAACTTTATAGAAGTAGGGCCTAAAATTTGATTCACATTTTACAAACAAGTTATTGTTTGTTTTTGGTTTTAAATTACACAACTGATCATACCCTCGACTGTAATTTTATTACTTTTCAAACTTAATTGATCATTATTAAACAAATATTTCCAGTAGTAGGCCCAACTAAAAAAATGTCCAAATGTCCTTTATGGTATTGGCAAAAAAACGATTGATTTTTTTTAAAAATAGAAATAGTGTATTGCTTGTTTTATCTCAGTCATATATTTTACTTTGGTATATCAATGCACCAACAAACTAGGGTGATATAACTTTATTAAAATAAAAATAAAAAGACTCCCTCCTTCATCACTTTTCCACCCTAGAGGGTGACAAACTGTTAATCATTGCAATGCACCAACAAACAACTCAAGGGTGATATGGCTTTAGCAAAATAAAAAAAACCTCCATCCCTCATCACTTTTCCAGCCCAGACAGAACGATAAACTAATCACTGTTTTTATTGTGCCGTAAATATAGGCTCGCATGCTGAATTAAAGTAAATTTCTAGGTAGGCCCTCATTTAGACAAAATGCATTGTTTATTTTATAAATTTTGCATCTGGATCAGGACGAAACTCTTTCATTGCAAATACCATTGTTTAAAGCTTTATTCAAGGTTAAACCTTTTAGAACACTTTATTCAGGAGTGACAACAAACATGCAACTGATGCCCTTTTTTTTTACCTTAGGCATACCCTATCTACAGAAGCTAAATTTTTTACACTGTTGATTAATGATTTTAGACAATGCACGTCAGTGGTAAATCAATCCTTGTAGGCTATTGTTACACCAAAACAGTAATCCGAATATGGAATAAATAAAACTTGAAAATCTATCTGTGATAGAAAACCATCTAGCATTGTGTCAATTTGCAATTTACATACCTCTGCAGGAAAATGTAAAGCAAGATTTCCTAGTTTACAAACATAAAATAAATTAGACTGTGTATTGTGTAAACAAAAGGAACCTTGACATACAGAGCATATGTTTCCCCTTTGACATTCATTACCTTTCAGTACTCTTAATCAAAGGATGAGAGGAAATAATATTCAATAAAACTATTAAATTTAAATTTAAATGATAAGTTGGACAAAAATGTCCTACGAAACCCTGCCAGCCAATTGGTTAATTTTTTTCGGAGGTGCAGTGTGGTGCTTTGATCAGGATGACGTCAAAGTTGCATAGTGCGCGACAGAAACAGCTCAGTATAATAAGGGAAAAAGTTTTAATTAAATTTATTTAAACAAACAGCTACGAACCACTACGAAGGTCATTGTTATTTTAATTAGCTTTGCAATGAACGTAGTCTGGATCGTCGGGCTGATAAACAATGCGTAAACAATACTGAAATATAGTTTACCAGCTTTCAACATGTGAGCAATGTTGCAATTTACTAACAAACAATGTTAGAACTTTATTGTTTTGTTATTTCCTACCTTATGATTAGATCAATCATGTTTTATAACTGTGTTTAGTTTGCCAGCTAGGTAACCTAGTGCAGGCCTTCAGTATGTTCAAATTTCGATGTCATTTAGGCCTACGGCCTACATTTTCCCCTATAGAGGAGGAGAGCAGACAGTAATTACCGTACTTGCGCGAATAAGCGCCCTGTTTGAATAAGCGCCCTGTTTGAATAAGCGCCCCTCCTAACATGAAAATTTCCGTAAGCGCCCCGTTTCAACAAGTGCCTCCTCAATAATCCAATCAATCCTGGGACTGTGGATGTTGGCACGATTTGAGGTGTGCCAACATCTACTTTAGTCCATATCAAAATGAGGATATTTATCTTGGGCAGATGAGAGCTCCCTGGACAGACAGTATTTTCAACTTTCATCTTCTTACATTTGTCTATAGCCTAGTCCTACTCCTTTTCCGACAATCTGCACCTTTAACTCATCTAAGTTTTCAAGAAAACCTGCAATGATCATGCCGTCCTGCTATTCTTAATCGACCGATGGCCAACAAGCTAACCACCACCACTAATTTCATCTGCTATTATGTAATATTGTACTCACAACATTCTTGTCATGACAAGCCATACTCTCTGGACGATTCTTTTCCGCCGCAGCACCATTCGTAATTAACGGTTTCCTGATGTCCTTATATAATCGTTTTACATTCAAAATGTGTCTCTTGGATTTAATAAGTTCTCATAAGAACCCCTCGATTTCCATAAGCGCCCCCTAAATTTCCACTCTGTTTTCATAAGCGCCCCGTTCGAATAAGCGCCCCATTTAAATAAGCGCCCCTCAAAATGTGCAAAAAATATTTTAAGCGCCTGGCCGCTTATTCGCGCGAGTACGGTATAAAGGTAAAGGTAGGAGAATAACCCATAACTTGCAGCATCATTGTGCTGAATTGCGTATGGGCGTGGTCCGTGACTACTTAGCAGCCGTAAAGAGGCGCTTCTTGGTAGATACATGTTCACATCATTCCACAACGGCAGGGGCTGAAATGAACCATAACATCGGGGTAACCCCCTACTCTTCCGAAAGATGCAATGGGTTCTTTAAAGTGCATACGAGCCAGATGTATACACTGGACCTCCATTTTAAGTCCTTATCCGAGAAGACTTAGTTCTACCAACCGAACCATGGGCGAGGAGCGGCTGGAACCAGCGCCGATGTTAAAGGCTGTAGCTAGCGGCGCCCCTGCCTTACCGCTCGGCCACTCGACTTGCCTATGTGGTTAACTTTCCAATTCGGAGAATTTTGATGTGATATTATTGTTCTAGTAGCAGGAATTTTCTTCTTTTAAATAATAATACTGGTGACAAATCATGTACAAATTATTACGATTTCTACAGATCACGTTGTTTATCGTTTACCGTAATTTGAAGCAGAACCTGCAAAGCGATCTAATACTAATGGAACTATAGAAATCACTTCCTTGCCGAATTAAGGCTAGTCATGCTAGACCGTCATTTTCTTCGTTTTTTACTCACTGTCGCTCACAGCTTTTTAACATTTGCCACAAGGTTAACCTTTTAACATATTTTACTGTGTTCTGATAGGCGTGCACTCTGACGTACAATGCTGGATTTTCGGGGTTGACAAGATGAACTGACAATGCTAAGTTTTATTTTCTATTGGGTTTTCCATTCGGTAATTTTACAACCAACGGACGTTAACTCTCCTTTACATATATTATTTATCTTACTAAATCAAGACTACAAAATATTATTTGATGAACAATCTTTTCACATGTGTATATTGTCATTGAGGACATCATTTTTTGACATTTAAAAGAGGTAAAATAATTGTAAATAAAAAATAGGCTAGACCTAGGCCAGGCCAATTAATTTTAAAAATAATACAGCAGTACAAACAAGTTCCTGTCGTGGGCGAGTCAAGAAAAACAGCTCCATACTTTAAATTAACGTTCTAAGCTTGTGCTTGCCATTCACAAATTATCAACCAATGCATTGTTTATTCCAGTAAGCTACAGCAGTCTTTCTGCACATACAAATAAACAACATGCTTCTGCTTTGTAGGTTCGCTTAGATTGTTTGCTTAGATTGTTTTTATCAGGCTATGATGTATCTGGTGGTACTGTACTTGACAGTGTCTGTAAATCTGTACAGCACATGCGGCAAAAATAGGGTCGCTTAGCGAGGTGATATCTCTGCTGCTCGAGATGGTAATTACTTAAGAGCCTAGCCTAGACAAAACTTAATTCTTTCTATGAAAATTTACTTTCACCATTTTGGCAAACGATGCCATTTTTTTCCCGCCAAACGGTATCTCAATTTGCCATTGGCGAATTAGCAAATGGCTAGCATGAGCGAAGACAACCATTCTTAATTTTATATTGTTACATAATGTATTAACTTTGTATTGTACTTTTCATAAGAAAATGTGGCTATGACCATGAAAAGAACCTCTGACTCAGTGGCGTATCTAGAAGTCTTGAAATGGGGGAGCCACTGGGGCACAAAGTTGAAGTGGGGAAGGGGGCTCGATGATCAGTTGAGGGGAGTAATTCGTAAAATAAGGTGATTTTTAACAACTGAGGAATTAGAAAATATGGCGATCTTGTACAGCAGGCAAATGTAATAGCTGTCTCTTATACACATCTAGATGTGTATAAGAGACAGGGTGATATCTCTGCTGCTCGAGATGGTAATTACTTAAGAGCCTAGCCTAGACAAAACTTAATTCTTTCTATGAAAATTTACTTTCACCATTTTGGCAAACGATGCCATTTTTTTCCCGCCAAACGGTATCTCAATTTGCCATTGGCGAATTAGCAAATGGCTAGCATGAGCGAAGACAACCATTCTTAATTTTATATTGTTACATAATGTATTAACTTTGTATTGTACTTTTCATAAGAAAATGTGGCTATGACCATGAAAAGAACCTCTGACTCAGTGGCGTATCTAGAAGTCTTGAAATGGGGGAGCCACTGGGGCACAAAGTTGAAGTGGGGAAGGGGGCTCGATGATCAGTTGAGGGGAGTCATTCGTAAAATAAGGTGATTTTTAACAACTTGAACAGGGGCGGATCCAGATGTCCAAAAAAGGGGGGGGGGGTGGCGCGAAATGTGGACCAATCGAGACAACACTACCCCAGGGGTCAATGGGCATTCCCTGCGATTTTTGTGCTTTTAGACGCCCGAAAATAACATCTGAGGCATTAGGCGATCAATTATTTCTTTTTCTTTCATTCTTGTTTTTCTTTTGAACCCACCACCGCCCGTCCCCCCCCCATCCCCTTATAGACCGTAATTTTTTGGGGGAACGACTTGGGGGGGGGGGGACGCCCCACGTTCCCCTAGATAGAATACGCTACTGCTATCACTTTCATTGACATGAATTAGAGACGTCTTACCAACTTCATATAGGCTATTTTTAATTAATTATATGAGTACAAAAGGATTTTACTTTGTTATATATGACATCACAATCGCCTAACATGCATGGTCGGACGATTGTGAATGAAATGCGAGATAGATGGCTAACCCCACACACGAGGTGGGATGAAGAGCCAATGACGATTTACGATTGTAAAATTTTATTTCCACGATCAATAAAATATATTAAAGTTTATAAACGATGACATACCATCTCTTCTGTTCGATCGACTCTCTGTTTCAACTGGTTTTTGACTGTTTTTCTCATTCAGTTGCTTGTTTGCATTTCCACCACTACCAGATTTCTTCTTCTTTTTCTCCTTGGTGACCTTAGGATCTATCGGTGCTGGTTCATGTTCTAAAATATCATCAGCATCGTCAGCTAAAAAGGCTCCATACCTGTTGGACGTCCCTATACCATACGAGTGTTCCATGATGAATTTCCTTCTCTTTCTTGAAGGATGATTTTGGATTCTAAATACTACCTAGAAAACATGAGGAATTAGAAAATATGGCGATCTTGTACAGCAGGCAAATGTAATAGTGGGCGTATGAGGGCGCTCGAAAACAAACCCTGGTAAGATTATTCCACTAAAAGAGAATTATATCTCAGCAACAAACTGAAATTATGTTTTAAAAATGCGTTTAACTATAATACCATTTCATAAATATACTGCAAAAATGAGCAAAGATATTCTTAGGTTTCGATAGAACATGTATATTTCCAGTAACATATTATTTTGTATATCTTACACAAACTTAACCCCTACCTATAAAATGCGCGTTGCCTATCTATGTCCAAAATGACCCTGTTAAAGCAACACCGCGCGAAATAATCCCTATATTTCCTATTTATTTCCCTAATTCAATGTTCTAAAGCTTCTTTTTAGGGAGGCAGGTACATTACTGACAGCATCCTGTTATAAGACTTGCTTTTTAATTGAACTTACTGTCTCCAAACAAAGAAAGTCACTGGCATTTCCATATATGGCTGTGAAGTTTTAGGGAACAACTAAATAAATCGCGGGAGCATTATTTACAGTTGAATATGATGGTCAAACAACTCCCTGCACAGTTCATACTCGACTGTGCGTCAGCTGCTCTGACGATCACCTCGTAAAACGCCGAGTAGGCTTACTCAACGGATAGGCACATACAGCACTGTAATACCTTGGAACAGTGAAATTACAACTGTTCCCTGGTAATACGTTCACAAAACTGATATATCATGCAGTCATCATAATATCATATAATTATTATGTTATATTATATTTCATTCTATCATGTTTCATATTGTACATTGCAGTATATTATATTAGCCTATATAGCCTAGGCCCTGTCTCTTATACACATCTAGATGTGTATAAGAGACAGATATATATATATAGGCACATACAGGTTAATTTATTTTTAATTCATATAATCCAGCATTTACTTTTTAAGATTTCATAATTATTCACTTATATTGTAGTTAAGTCCGCTTCCCACCATATTATTCTACTATGTACGCTTTAATTAAGAATTGTTTAATCTATAACACCACTATCTCAATACTTGACCGCTTTGATCTCTGTCGGATTTCACTTTGTATATCACAGCATAAACTATTAGATAATTGGCCTATAATCCGTCTACATCACTATTGTATTGTTTATATTGTACAATATACGGTACAACTTGCAACAACAGCTAATCTTGTGCGTTCTGTAAAGCTGATGAAGACCAGAGGACTGGCCGAAAATTTCTTTCGAAAATAAATACAGGTTTTAACAGTCTACATGCCTTGTTAATATTTTGTTTCAGCGATATATATATATATATATGTAAATAAATCAGTAGGTAGACGCAGACAAAATAACCTGCTACGATATTTTGACTTGTAAGAGACATAGAAATATTTTATTTGCGAAATTTTCGGCAACTCCTGTTACCTTCGTCAGCGCATGAGTATCAATGAGAAACTTAACAGAATACATAAGAATAAATAATAATAATAATAATAATTTGGATTTGTAAAGCGCAAAATACATAGGTCTGTTCTGAGGAAACATCATATAAGTTTTTTTTACTTCAGTTTCCTCCATTTCTTGCTACTTATTTAAAAGACATGAATTGTATAATTGTATTTTGTTTATTGCCAGAAAAAAAACGCTTATTGTATTGTATTATTATTAAGTTTACTGTACCCACTGCTTTTATATTGTAGTACCATGGTAGTACATTGTGAAAATGAGCCTGATTCGCTCTATTGCACTTGGGGCAAAGGTCAACCAAATTATGTACAATTCAACAGAGCAACAACCGCAACGTACGGCGCCAAATTCAGTTGGCGCGTAACCTCCTATCGAAAAAATCAATGATCATTATACTGTGTGTAGCCTAGGTAGCGGAAGGAGTGAATGCTTTTAGCGTTGAATTCAATCATAAACAGCAAAAATGAGCTCAATTTTAACGAATTCTCCAAAGAAAAATATGCCGCATAACCTAATGACTTCACCAGTGAGGCAATTTAGGGTAGATTCAATTCCAAGAAGTCCAAGTTTCGGAGAATTTTACCCATGGAAGTGGTCTGAAAACGCCGAGAATATCCAACTCAGCCCCACCAGCTCCTGTTGTTCTCCAAGTGGGTCGGATGGAAGTAGAACTCCCAAAGCGAGAGGTAGACCTAAAGCTGAATCTATCCCGAGTCTTCAGTTAGAGGGATCCTTCTCACCTAGCAGTATAAGATGTAAGATTTGTCATCGTGTTTTTCCAAGAGAAAAGTCATTGCAAGCACACCTTCGCACCCACACTGGTAAGCAAGCTCTGAGCCTTTAAATTTTTCTGGCCAGTGTCTTTGTTGTTGTGTAGGCCAAGGCTAGACGAATCGCCCATCTGATGAACTGATCGCTGAACAATGAGCTAGGCTAGGCCTAGGGCCTAGATCTAAATATAGTAGGCTCCTCAGTTGTATTATAATGGCAGGCTAGGCCTATTTCATTGCCTATATAGCCTAGGCCTATGCATACAAAATAAAATTAATAACATTGAACGTTTAATTAAAGTGCCAGGTATTTATTTATGTTAATAATTTTTTTTCATAAAAAATAGTCAAGGTTCAAATGAAGTCAAGTACAGTAGTGCCTAGGAGTCCTATTCTACTACTTACTAGGCCTAGGTAGGGTCAATCTCCAAAATTGATTTTGTATGCATAAGTCATCTTTGTTTTGGTTATGGAATCTGTGCTACCAATTCCTTTTTTTTTAAAACTAAAGTGAGGGAAGAAATATTGGCTGTTATTTTCACAAATGCAAACAAATTTTTAGGTCTAGCTTCTTTTTCAGCGGACATATTTTCTGCACAGGCCCTACATATATGCACCGTCTCTTTTAATTGGTGAATATTGCAAATTGTGATGCCAGTGAGACTTTGGTTAAAATTATTTACTGCTCACAGCTTTTTTTTTTTTTTGCTGATGAATTCTGTATTTTATTTTATAGTATTTTAAAGTTTCTGACAAAATAAAAGGAACGTAATTATTTTGTAGTTAGTGGCGTATCTAAGCAAGTGGTTGGGGGCACAAACTAGATATGTTGCGTTTGTGCGGCAGAGATTGCCAGATCATTGGGTCTGCGCAAGGCGCTGCCCTCAGATACCAAAACTTTAAATGCATCCAGCGTCGCCAGTTTTAAACGGACTTGCAGGAAATTTTGTATCACATAAACTAGTGGTGATTTCCAACAAACGTTGCCCTTTTTTAAGTTGGATATTTTAATTTTTAACAGATGAACATTCTAAATAATATTTTTTTTTGTACAAATAGACATTCTAATTATTTAAAAATTTATATCTTATTAGCTCTTCCAAAAAACCCAATATATTAACTTGCGTCTGTACCGTATTTAAGCGTGGTACAAGCTCTTCCAAAAAAACCCAATATAATAACTTGCGCATGTACCGTATTTAAGCGTGGAGAAAACCGGTGAGCGGTTGCTCATGTTTTCCAGGTGTTAAATCTTGATCGTCTTATAAAAATGCAGCTGTCCTTTTTTATGATAAAACAATAGCCAACTATTGCAATATCATACTCTACAATTAGCTTATGCTTGAATATGCTTCATTTATAATAATACAGTACTGTACTAGTACAATAGTATTAATATTTCTAACAATTCAATTCTGTTTTTCCCCTGTTTATTTAGGAGAACGTCCATACACGTGTGATTATCCTGGATGCACCAAGGCATTTGTTCAAAGTGGGCAATTAAAAACACATCAACGACTTCATACAGGAGAAAAACCATTTAAATGTAAAAATAGTGGTAAGTCTATCATCACATGCTTTTAATTATATTAGATATTTTTTAAAAATTCATTAAAAAAACTAAATTCATTATATTAAAGATTTTAAACTTTGGATTTATTTGTTTGGAAATGTATTGGAAATTTTTTTGTTCAATGGTGCTGTAAAAAAACTACTAATTGTGAAAATGTTCAAGTATTATTGATAGTGTTAAAATAATATGTTTATAACTTGACAAGTCTGTTGTCTTAACATGACGTTAATGTAAAATGTACACCAACCATTTTTCCAATCCAATTCCTGAGTGATGTGTTGGAGATGATGATATACAATCTAAAACAAATCATTTATTTTTACTTTACATCGTTTGGATTTTAGCTTGCACGAACCGCTTCACACATGCAAACAGACATTGCAGCCTCCATCCAAAGGCAGGAATCGAACGTGTAGAACAAGAAAATCTTGTCGGAGGAATTACAAAGAATGATGAAAATGATGAAGCTGTAGCCCTCTGGCTTGAACGGTAAGCCTCACAAACTTTATTTTTCTTTGCTAATTCACAGATTAACAAGATTGATTCTATCCACCAGTAAAGTAGTTTCTCATCCCCAGCTCATGAAGATGCAATTTCTCTTGCCCTCTGGAAATCTTTTTAAAAAAATTTTAATTTTTGGCAAACGTAACGACTGACAATAACAGTGATTTCGAATACAAAATTTGCTTTATTTTTGACCATTTAGCGCACACTCTGCCTCGAAAAATAGAATTTTCAGGAAAAAATTGTTTTATATTTATTTTTATTATACCATCCCCTGAAAATAAGATACATATTTCTTCCTTATATAAATTTAAAGCATATATCAATCTCATTACTACACTGTTTACAATCATCAATAACATTTTATTGTTATTTTCTCCTCAACCTAGATGCATTTGGCCAAATCATTGGCTAAATAAGAAAAACAAATTATTTTAATTTTTTCCTGCTATCTGATGATCATTAAAAAAATAAGTTAGCTAAACAATGTATTAAATAAAAATAATGTAATTTATACAGAGTAGAATATCAATTATTTTGGTTGGTCACTTCTACTCTATATTTATGTTTTTCAATGAATTTACCAATTTAATGATTTCAAATACAATGTTTATTGCAGTTTTGCAGCTACTACAAAAACACCTAGCAAGAGTAGTCTAAGACAGGAAAAAAGGAAACAACCCACAAATGCCAAAAGGGAAGGAGATGAAAGGAAACGGTCTCGCATTACCGCAAGACGGCGCTTAGAGGAACAACGCGAAAAATTCCATTGTGCGGTAGCTCTTGTTGAGTTAGCAGAAAAACTACCGTGTGATCTTTAACTTGAAAATGTTTTTCTTATTTTATATGTGATGTCCATGTTATTGAAACAGAGCTAGTCAAACTAGGAACAATGTACATTGTAGTTAATTTCTATACAAAGCACAATGATGAATTTTAAATACAGAAAAACTGTAGAACAAATTTTTACTAAATGATAATCTAAATCTATTATATCTCACAAATTCCTTTCAAACTTTTATAATAGATATTTTTTATGATAATTAAACATTTTATAACTATTTAAAAATGTTTTGATTTACCTGAATTTCATCTATTGCTAATTTTTCATCTGTTTTACTGCATATATGTTATGTATATATATTGTATATATATATCCCAAGATGTAAATGTTCAATTGTGCAACATAGATATATTAAAAAAGGTAATTAATTAGAGGAATGTAAATAAAGCATGCAAGTTATTTATTCTTGAATTATTGAAGCAGAATACTCAAGTGTTTAAAAAGGTTTGGGCTCTATGAATTGAGACCAAGATATGAAGTGTAAATTAGCCTAGCTAAACTGTCTGAATAAAATAATGAAAAAAAATAAATTGTATTCTGATATTTTTTTCTGATGCAGTAGCTACACAACCTGTCCATCATGAAAGAATTGTGTTTATATAGTGCATTGAAATGGCCTCAAAATATTTTAGCTATGGACTAGACGACGCAGGGTTCCTGGAACACCGCCCTCAGCGGCGAGTGCGAAGCACAAATCAGGGTCAAAAGTGGAACGTGAAATTTGGATAACTTCAGCTACCCGTATTTCTCGACTGAGACGTCAGTGGGAGCTGTTATTTGTATGGCAAGGAGATTGTGCAACCCTTAATTCGTATTAAGGGAATTTACGCCCAGAAACCTTGTAGTTATTATTTTGGTTATAATAGAAAATATTTTTGGTGACGTCACACTCACAATATACTGTAGTAAGCTAGATTACGTCACCTTTTCCTGGTAAGGCAAACTATCCCGGCATGCTTTTTTCTTGGATATACAAACACCACTGCTTTGCAATACCTTGTCCTAGCTAGGGCTACAAGAGCCGCATTGTTAGCATTGTATAATACGTACAAGGTACCTCTGCAACTGAATTATTCTTAGTACGGCGGGTACTCATTTTCACAAAGCATTCCTCTCTTGGAAAGAGGGAACTTCGAAATAATTGTCTCCTTATCTTCGCTAATTAAATTAATCACCGTAATTTAGCTTACACTTATGAATTTAGCTAGCGCTTAAAATGTACAATAATCATTTCACTACCCGACAAACTCCGAACTTAAATAAATACATACATAAATAGTTTCATCTTGCTGTACTATATACTCCAACATCACTGGCGCATGGTAACAACCAACTGATGCAGACCATTTCCGGTCTGCACCCCCTAGTTCCGTCACCTCTGGATATTAAAGTAACTTCTAAGGGTTTCTTTGTGTCTGAGCTACTCGGTGAATACCTATTCTAGTCTGTTCACAACCAGGGCTGCATGGACCTGTAAACCCGAGTATGTGCACATGAGCCAAGGATTTCTCTACATCTCAGTTAAAGAGCCCTGAAGGAGGCATCACACTCATCTCCACTGCCTCCTACTCTGTCCATTACCTGTACTGTATGTACAGGTACTACAGTACTGTACTTTTAGAAAAGTTTCTAGTTGGTCGTGTGAAAATGACGAATCATGGTAGAGAAATATTGAAAAAAATATTTATTACATTTTCAGGATAATCTACACAGAATACTGTAGTACAATTTAGCAATCCTCAAAAAATCAATGCCCTTAAAACATCCAAAATGCTGGGCCCTTGGCATCCCATGAACTGAGTGTACATAGTAGGGTGTCCTTACAAGACCCAGTCAGGGGCTTCTAGCCCCTTCATTATGCCACTGAGTGAATTTTATAGACAATATGTAGAATATACATATTGACGAATTGTGGTTTTTCTTTTTTTGGGGAAGGGGGGGAGAGAGAAAATTATCTGGGGCCAAGTCCCCTATAGCGCTGCTACTGCTTCCCATGACTATCCAAAGTCTGAATTTCTATAACTTTCCAAAATGTATACAAACCTTGTGTATATTATTAGTAGTCCTAGAAAGAATTGTACTGTACTGTGTCAAGAATCCAAAATTGCAGGCTTGCGATTTCCCACCGGCAGGGTGGTATGTTTTGTGATACAGTATTTGATTTAACTACAGTAACCAATAATAACCAGGAATCAACAACTTTGATGTAGCTCAGCCCAATCAACTTTTATTTTGAACACAACAAACTTGCATCACACAATCATACAATAACAAACAAGAACTTCTGGATTTTGAAAAGCACACTTCAGAATATACAGTACTGTATATATATACGGTATCTCCAAAATATAGATACTGTATTATTACCCCAGTAAATAAGAGGGGCTTGAAATCCCCTCCGACCACCCCACCCAAAACAACGTGGCTGGCACTGCCGCTGTTGGGAACAACCACAAATGAAATCATTAGAATTAACAACTTTGAAGTAGCTTAAATCAATCAAAATATGTTTTGAGAACACAACAATGTTCCTGCAACAATCACACAATAACAAACAAGACCTTCTGGATGTTAAGACCAATAGTAGTTGAAAGTTCACTGAAGAATATACAGTACCGTATATACATCTCTCCAAAGTATAGACATACTATAATAAGTTCAATTCACCATTATGTGAGTGATAAAATCTCCCTTTTAACTTTTAATTTAGGAATTTAAGAGCACTTTGATTTAAATCAAGGTTGAAAAAAGAAAGCATATTAACTACTATATTTCCATAAACAGTTAAATCCAACCAACCTTATTGCATTATGAAATAAGAAACACAGTATAGTACTAGCAAAAAGCAAACTAGTACAACTGTACTTTACCCTGTTAAATAACACATAAAAAACTGATATCATTTAGACCACAAATCACCACAAAAGAGAATAAATAATGCCTCATATTGGAGAAAATTATCTTTGGACATCATCAAAAATTTCCTGTGTTCAATTTTAAAATACAGTATTTATCTATTTTATAATCCTATTTAATATTGTTTTCCCTCTCTTTGGAATTACCATTAGCTTGGTTGTAATTCATATATTAACCATAATATTCAAAATATCCTTTTAAAACATTCATAAATACAACAGTCATATTACACATACAAACATTCATAGATAATACTGTACCTCTAATAACGATAACAATAACTGATTATTAATGCTTTCTGTATAGAATATACTATAAAAAAATAATTTGTTAAACTGTTATTAATTGAACAAAATCAACATTTTGCTACTACTGTTATCTAGTCCTGGAAATATATTGCATGAACGACTGACAGAGAAAGGCAACTTAATTATATAATTATGCCAAACAAAAAACATTCATGGTCTTCAAAACTGATACCAGCACACAATTGACCAAATAAAATAGCAGGGAAAGATAATGAAAAAAGTTGGAAGATGGAAAATAGCTTATGGTAAAAACTCTTGCACCGGGAATAAAATAACGGAGACTGGAAGTATTAACATAAGGCCAAAAAAAAATTGTTGTGATATTCGGTCGGTCGCAAAGGGCAAAACAAAATTTTTTTTTTTTTTTGACCTCACCACACGTATGACTTCGATTTTCATTATTTCAATATTTGCATAAACACAACAAGTAGCAGATACTGCATTTCATTTATTTAAAAAAAATATTTTTAAGTGATTTAATAAAATTTAAATATTCACTTCTTAAATCACTTTTTTTTAAATATAAAATCCAATTATATATTAATCTTTGTATATACATTGTATTTTACTCTTCTGTTTCTACTGAACCTTATTAATGGTGCAAGAAAGTGAAGAAAAGTGAGTGAACGTAAAATTGTGTTTCTTTTGCACAGAGGTTTTACACAATTTTTCTTGTATCTACAATGTACATCATCCTGAATATATTTTCTGTTGTATCCTTGGGATTACTTGATGCATGAGAGCTCAGTCTGCAGGCAGGAAAGCTATGATGGTATAGGGAATTCTACAGAAGAAGAGATGGGGATTATCTTCAAACTTGGGCACGTCTTGTGGCTGAGGGGTAAGTTAAGTAAGGGGCGCAGCTAACTACAGCGTTCACATCGGCGTTGGTTTACAGACCTTCTTGCCCAGATTTAAATTTTCCACGATATAAAGAATATTCTATCCTGTACTAAGTCTTGTATATCCATTGCTAGTTTAATGATGCTAAACGTTGGGCGCATTGATGCATTTAATGATCAATGAAACAATAATAAACACCGTTCCCATATCAGATGCTTCCATACCTTCAGCTTTAACATATCTGATGATATCAATGGTTTTGAGACAACTTCTAGTCAACTAAACCAAAGTGCTAGGACTTGCAGTTATCATTTTTAACTGTAGTGGCTCAGAAGATGCATCACAAAGCCAAAACAAGAGTTACTTAGTTGATTTTGTGCTCTTGGCCCAATATATTCCATCTGAGGTTGATATGTGCATTCCAATAGGCTGGCTAATGGCTACGGTCCAAAGCTGCAATGTACTTCGGGTCTATGATTTTTGGAACTAATTTGTGCCTAAAAAAACAAAAGAAATGTTCAAAATAAACACATTATCATGTAAAAAGTAACAATAAAATATTAATAATAGTAATGATAAGTGATACTCTAGTAATAAAAGAGTAATTAAAAATTACTAATCTATTTCCTGATATCTTTAATTGCTTTTTTAATGGGAAATCATCCAAACAAAGGTAAGAGCCACTTAAGATAAATGGGCTAGAAATGAAATTCTCAGTGGAGCAAAAGAAAGTGATTCTCAACACAGAGCTACATTAATTTAAAATAATAATAATAATATCAAATAACAGATAAATAATTTTGTTCCCATCTGTGATATGGCTAGGATTATGATATTTGATTGCAAATCAATAATGGTAAATGCCAATAAATGTATCAATACCTGATTGGCAGCAAAATCAGGATAAGGACGGGGAATGTCATCTTCAGATAGGGATAGGGAACAAAGCCAAAAGAACACAGGACAATCAGTTGGATAAGCTGAACAAAGGTAAATGTGTGCATTTTACGCTGTGGTACTCTCCTCACATAATGATTTGGTGGATACGCAGCCTGAGGAAGAAAAGGAAACCAAAGTTAAAATATAATTCAACTATTTCTTAAGATTTAGAATTGTGAGTAATATAAGCAAGATTACAGCCAGTCATATGCAATTCATTTAAGAATAGGCCGTTGATCATTGGGTTTGTGGTGATTCAAGTGATGCCAGAAAATTTTCCACTGATATACAATACAGCGCTATAGTTAACAGAGCATTAAAACTTTGTCAATTCGTAAATGATGAATCATTTGCTGTTAGATGAGTAAAAAAAAAAAAACAGAAACATGTTACTAAAGTACTCTACAAGAATGCTCACAGCGCCCTCTAGTACATGTTATTATATGCAAAAATTTGCATATGGTAGCCAACATGCTGTAGGTTATCCGCTATCAGTCAAATATAATTGAACATGCAGGTGATGGATGGTATTATAATGGTGTCCAAATTTAATGATGTATATTTGTAGTAGTTAATCAGTTGTGCTTATAGGTCCTATGTTACATGGTGTAGTTAAGTAAGGATCTCTGGTAGTTAATTATGCGATAACATCTTACGTTAAAAGCCCACCGTCATTGAACGAATAATTTGGTTGAGTATTAATATGATGAGGCAAATTTTGTTTGATTTTGATTAATATTACTTAATAATTGAACATGCTACAAGTGTCAGTTTGTCCATGCATCAAGAGAAGCTGTCTATTTAAATGCGAACTTCAGATCCAAATATCATGATGATATGTGCAACATTCCACAACTTTTTCGTCAAAGGAGAAAAAAAATCATCGATGACTATTACATAATTTTCCATAAATACTTTAAATTCCAGGATTTTCCATTACTGAGGAAATTCTGTAAATATTAATATACAAATCGAATGAAAATAAATATTGAGAAAATAATAGTCATAAATTAATATAATGCATTCATTAATATTTTATGTAATTTTTATCTTTTATAAGATGATGTTTTTAAATGTTGCATGTAATTTTATCATATAACATAGTTTTATTAGTACTCTCATAATCTGCCATTTCAGTTTCCTTGCGGAAGATATTGAATGAGTGAACAATTACTGTAATGAATTCCCGAACAATACTAAATCAGCTTTTTTTTTTCCAGATTAGCATGCATACCATGTACATTAGTGTAATATCTACATCAAAAAACAACCTAAAAATAACAGCAGCCCATAATCCATATATGTTGCATGCCTCTCTGTGAAAGCTCATGTTGCAGCTTATCTTTTACAGTGAAGTTGAGCATATCTTCACTGCCTGTACCATATATTAATTGTGCAGGGTTTTATCAAGGTTTTAATCACTTGCGTAAAGATGTCTGCAATTTTGATAGAAATCAAAAGTCCTTGTAGCATCTAGCACATACCCATTGTAATATTTTTCCTTTGTAAAATGGGGTATAATTTGTATTTTTAAACACATTTATTTTGAACCGCCACTTGGCTGCTGATATAGGTACCTCAAAGGTACCGAAAGCAAATCATTGACTCTAATAGGTAATATATTTCTATTTCTACAATTAATGAATATAAATAAATATAGTGCATCTTCTTACTTGTTCAGTGATCAAAAGTTTCATACGTTCAAACATTTGATTGCCATCGAGAGCAGTAAAAGCTAGGTAAAGGAACAATCCATAAAGAACAGGTTTCGGAATATACTGAAGTGGGTTGGGAAGCATAAACAATGACAATCCAATCAGGATATGCGAGAATAAACTGGTGACACGGGTTTCTCGTACTCGTACAATACTAAAGCAAAATAGAAAGAAGTTAATTAAAAAATAATAACTTTCTTTTCTCACAGTTTTAATTCCTTTCTATTATCTTACTAAGTTTATTTTAATAAATCTTAGCTAATTTATTTATTGTATAATTTATTTGGTTTTAGCACTTTCAAACATTATGTAAAAAGGGACATAAGAAAAAAACACCAGAAGGAATAGTACCTCTAAGACTTAAACAATACCCCCTGAATTACATGGTTTGGTCCACTGTTGTGGTGTTTTCCTCCTTGACATTTTTCTTACACCTGCAACAAGGTGCATTAGTACCATTTCAGGAAAAGAATACTCACATTGTGTGTGATAGTACCTCATACCTTAATCAACACCCCTAATATGAAATGGTTTATTCCATTATTGTGGCATGGTGTCTATTCCTAGAATGGTGTTTTTTTCCTACACCCAACAAAACTTACATGTTGTAGACATGTCCCTGATCCACCCTTTCTTCTACATCAGCAAGGGCTTTGACATGTAGTGGAGAGTGAGGTAGTGCTGCGTGAACCCATGGTAAACCAAATATTGACAACATAGCATTCAACAATGCCACAACAAATAAATCCAAGTGGTATGCTGAGCCTTTCTTAAGCCTAACAAAGAAAAAAAAATCAGTTTACCTATATGTAATGACCACAAGCATAGGATGAAACATACTTTGGATTGCCAAGTGTGCAAAGCATTACGGTACCAGTGGGGCTTACATATTAATTGGAATTTATATACTGTAAATATTTGTTCAATATATTTCAAGAAGACAACCTCACAGAATGGGGAAGCAGAAACAAAAATTTACATTGAGCAAAGTGCACATGAACAAACAGTAGTGGGGTCAGTGAGGGGTCCAGGGGGCACAGGACCTCTCATTTTGGGAAATCCTCGACTCCCTGTCAGGGAAGAAGCCAATTATTTTGTTGGGTAACACTGCTTTAAAAAAAGCATTTTTTTTTTGTCTGACTGCCATTTACAGGTATTCAGACAGTGGGGATGAGGGGATTTTGGACCTCTTATTGAGAATCTTGGACCCCTTCCGGGGACCTTGAATCCCTCGTTAGGAATATAAGGTGCCATCACTATGAACAAACAAAACAATCAATATACCGTAAAACCTCGCATTGAAGATAAATGGGCTTATCTCGAGAAGAAGCTCATCTCGAATTGAAGCCCCTCGCTTCAGTTTGCAAATTAGCCTAGAAAAGAAGCCCATGGGCTTCTTTTCAATATAGCAAAGGCTTCTTTTTGAGATAGTACAGTACATACACCGTACATGAATTTCAAAGGAACAAAATTGAAAACACAGTTGGTTTGTACAGTAGTTTAGGTTAGAGTTCCTATATAGACAGAGTTGCGACATGAGCCGCTAGTGGGACTTCATATTGGGTCCATTTTATGCCTGAATGAACGCAATGCCTATGCTACAGTGTAGTGACTGCATATGCAATTAAAAAAAATTAAAATATTAATAAGAAAATTTTATGTCATTTGATAGTAAATATCTGTTAATTCAGGCGTGTTTGAAGTTTATAACAAGATTTAAAAATGAAATTGATTCTCAATACGCTATTATAATTAACTACATTACATGTAGTTTTTGCTTGACCAAAATAGCGTAACGCCTTCACTAGGCGTACATCATTGGGTTTGTTCGGCTCTAAAAATACTAGGCGACTAGGCCTCTTACTTACGCACAGGACAACTGAAAATTGTAAATTGTAAACAGGTGTTTGTGGCAAGCCTCTAACTAAAGTCCCAGTCCAAGGGTATCTCCAAAATAACTTGTAGAATATAATAAGAGAAGTCTGTGTCATACAGTAACTGAAACTACTACTACCAGCTAGGCCTGGTCTAGTACTACTACTAGCTAGGCCTGGTCTAGTACTACCACTATTTAATACAATATATAGATAGGCTCTTCTTCTTCCCATCTTGAATTCAGAAGTCAAAACATTTGTTTTTAATCATGTATAGTGGTGGAAAATAGTCTCCAGCAAAAAATAAAGCGACACGACCTGTTATGGAGTTATGAATTTTTAAATAACATGAGGTCAAGAATTTATCCTCAAAGCTTTTCTTAATTTTGTTGGTTACGCACTACTGACTTGGGTAGTTTGTCCCCAAATGGCGGATTGAGGGCGTACAGTAGTCACTGTCATGGGACATGTCGCAACTCTGTCTATATAGGAACTCTAGTTTAGGTGATTTAATGCCGGTTAATACACTCCATGATATAGATTGATGTTACAGTGGCCCTATTTTTTGTTCAATAGTACTAATTCCGAAAATTTACAGCATTCATTTTAAAACGAAGCCCCCTCTTTACTTCGCAAAAGTGCCTCGATAAGAAGCCCCATCCAAAGTTCGCAAGAAAAAAAAGGATTAGCACTGGGCTTCAGTTCAAGGTTTTATGGCATTACAAGTATGTGAAAATAAATAGTGCATGTTTTTATAAAAATGCTAATGGTGTAATAATTTATGCTGGTAGTCTTTTGTTTTCCACGTACCTTTTATATGCAACATCCACATTTAATTATGTTATCATAATTAAGCCTGTGGGTGCTTCTGGATATTATGATATTTTATTTTATAACATTTTATTAAGTGTAACAATAAAAGAGTAGGATATAAATTCATGTTGTTAAAATTATTGCCTTGTTATTACACCGTGTATGAATAACAAAGAAATTAACATTGTGTCAAAATATATTTCATATCCTTAATATTGGTATTAAAAACACTCAGTATTCAACATTATATTAAAAAAATTTACGAACATATCATTGTAATATTTGTGCTGAAATGCGTATGGGCTTTGTCTGTGACAGCTGTAGAGGTTAACATTATTCCACAATGACAGGGGCTGTTAATAATGATTTTATTTCATTAATGACAATTTATTAGATTAATGATTGTTTAATTCTTAAAATAAATATGATGTGACATATACATGAATGTAGAACTGTTCCCATCATTCAAAAAATGGCATGTTTAATTTTTTTTACTAAATAAACATGATGTAATTTGAGCGAGCCAAATGGTCGAGCGGTTAAGGCAGGGGCACCGTGATCATAGCCAACAATATCGGCATAGGTTCGCAGGCGGCTCGCACCTATAGTTCTGGTGGTGGAACAAGTCTTCTCGGATAAGGACTATAAACCGTAGACCCAGTGTACACAAATGCTCATGTGCACTTCAAAGAACCCAGTATATCTTTCGAGATGAGTAGGGGTTAATGATTTTAAAAGATTAATGATAATTCATTTGATTAATGATTGTTTAATTTTTAAAATAAACATGATATAACATATACTTGAATGTAGATTACATTGGAATAACCAGGGAGAGTGAACTTCCTAGTTATTGTCTACAGGTATTCAATCATATACCAAGCCAAACCAGTTACTCGTCGCAAATCATGTTTCAGAGATATTGGCCAAAACATGCTGGAATGTCAAATTTGTTTGAAATCTACTTTATGGCACAAATTTTAAAAATGTTTTCAAATGCCTGAAATCATAAAATTTGAAGGCCGATTTCTAAAATATTGTTCTTTAAGCAGCTGTATGTTTAAACACTTGTAACTTCATAAGGAAATGTCAGATTTAAATGATTTTTTTACCATTTTATAGTTCTCATTTTCATCGTTAACAACTGTTTTAATAACTAAAAATCGATTTTTGAGACAAGTGACTGGTTTGGCTCGTCTTTGCCACATATGTTATGACACTGTGTATTATTAGAATATAAATAAATACATAACACTGGGACTGAATCCATGTACCTTTCACAAAGTTTAACGTCAGTGCTCGATCCATGTTTGCATATTCTAGCACTTTGTAGTGAGAAGAATGCTTTTTTTACATTTTCTGTATTCATTCATATTCAATATGTGACTTTAAATTACTATTAAGAATTACAGATGAAATTGGTTAATAATGTACATTTATCTAAAATATTCTATGGTTTAAGGTCATTTTCCCCCTAAAAACTGTGCATGGTATTTTAGAAGGATTAAAACGAAAGCGCTGTGATACAATATTATCAATAGCTTAGAAATTAAGTATCTTAATCTCGATAATTGTTAAACCAGTTAGCAGCAGATATATTTTCATGGATTAGAAATCATGAACGATATAGCCCTATATGTCTTAGGTACTTTATATGTATATAAGAGAAAGCCATAAATATCTTTCTAGCAATGGAGAGCTGCACGGGTTATCCTCTACAAAAATGTTTTAAAAACATTTTTGTTTTTAATCAATCATAAAATGCAACCTTAATGGATGTCGACCCTTGAACTAGGTTGGTTATATTTACAAATAAAGGTATATTGTACTGCCTATTTTAAAATCTTCATTAACACTATTAAAACAATGGGTCTCTTTCTTACATGATCAAATAATTACGAACCTTTCTATGAGAAGTGGATTGAAATTAAAACTTTTGTCTTACTATGTAAATCCTTATACTGATTACCAACCAATTCAAGACACGCAAAGAAAAATTGTGTTAAGGAATCGTTAATTGCCAAGGAGAATTGTTCATGTTCGATATCTTTCTGAGTTTAAAGTAAAAAGATTAAGAATTTCTTTATACAATATAGAACTCTCCACTGATAAGGAATAAATGATACTCACTTGTTAGCAGGATTATTCACCATAGCACTAGAGATATTTTGATCCATAAAGAATAGTAGGGAAAGGCAGAATCCTAGGCCCATTGCACCAAACCATGCACCGATAGGCAGGGTCTCCAGTGGGGCTAGCACAAATAGCTGGCTGTCATGGTAAGGCAATGCTTCCACTGAAAGATTATTAAATTAGTCATTAGCAAACATGATTGTTATTAAGACCACATTTGGGACCAAGGTTTCTATGGTCTTTAGCAACTTTGCTCTCTAATTAGAATAACATTTGTTAATATGGGACTGCAGAAAAGTGGTTCTTAATTGGAGGTGGTCTCCAATTCGAGAGAGAGTCTGTAATTATAAAGCCAGGCACAAACTATGTCGGACAAAGCTCAGCTGACCAATGGACAGGAGTCGGCTGACAAGCGTATAGGGGGCTGTCTCTTATACACATCTAGATGTGTATAAGAGACAGGGTTAACATTATTCCACAATGACAGGGGCTGTTAATAATGATTTTATTTCATTAATGACAATTTATTAGATTAATGATTGTTTAATTCTTAAAATAAATATGATGTGACATATACATGAATGTAGAACTGTTCCCATCATTCAAAAAATGGCATGTTTAATTTTTTTTACTAAATAAACATGATGTAATTTGAGCGAGCCAAATGGTCGAGCGGTTAAGGCAGGGGCACCGTGATCATAGCCAACAATATCGGCATAGGTTCGCAGGCGGCTCGCACCTATAGTTCTGGTGGTGGAACAAGTCTTCTCGGATAAGGACTATAAACCGTAGACCCAGTGTACACAAATGCTCATGTGCACTTCAAAGAACCCAGTATATCTTTCGAGATGAGTAGGGGTTAATGATTTTAAAAGATTAATGATAATTCATTTGATTAATGATTGTTTAATTTTTAAAATAAACATGATATAACATATACTTGAATGTAGATTACATTGGAATAGCCAGGAGAGTAAATTCATAGTTATTGTCAACAGGTATTCATTCATATACCAAGCCCAAAACAGTCACTCGTCGCAAATCGTGTTTCAGAGATATTGGCCAAAACATGCTACAATGTCAAATTTGTTGAAATCTACTTTATGGCACAAATTTTAAAAATTTGTTCAAATGCCTGAAATCATAAAATTTGAAGGCCGATTTCTCAAATATTGTTCTTTAAGCAGCTGTATGTTACACTTGTAACTTCATAAGGAAATGTCAGATTTAAATGATTTTTTTACCATTTTATAGTTCTCATTTTCATCGTTAACAACTGTTTTAATAACTGAAAATCGATTTTTGAGACAAGTGACTGGTTTGGCTCGTCTTTGCCACATATGTTATGACACTGTGTATTATTAGAATATAAATAAATACATAACACTGGGACTGAATCCATGTACCTTTCACAAAGTTTAACGTCAGTGCTCGATCCATGTTTGCATATTCTAGCACTTTGTAGTGAGAAGAATGCTTTTTTTACATTTTCTGTATTCATTCATATTCAATATGTGACTTTAAATTACTATTAAGAATTACAGATGAAATTGGTTAATAATGTACATTTATCTAAAATATTCTATGGTTTAAGGTCATTTTCCCCCTAAAAACTGTGCATGGTATTTTAGAAGGATTAAAACGAAAGCGCTGTGATACAATATTATCAATAGCTTAGAAATTAAGTATCTTAATCTCGATAATTGTTAAACCAGTTAGCAGCAGATATATTTTCATGGATTAGAAATCATGAACGATATAGCCCTATAT